TTGTATTCTGTATCGAGTAATTGTGATAATAGACTTAATCTTTTAACTTGCAACATTAGTATTTCTATTTCTACGTTGATATATGAATCGACGTTTGCTAAGGGACCACAGGAAAAATTGGCGTCATTCGGTAGATTGATTTCAAGAAGAGACAATGTTAAAATATTTCTAAAACATATCTGTAATCGTCATTCTTATCAATAGGAGGAAACTTCCCTGTAACCATCGTTGTCGAGACGTCTTTCTCAATAACTCAGGAAATCCGGAGACACTTTGTTGTAGATTTCAAACAACGGCGAGAAAAATCACAGTCGGAATGAATACAGCGATTTTGAAGCATAAATTATATAACATTCACTTTGGTCATTTTGTCTATCGTAATTAGGAAGGATCTTTTCCATTTATTTATTATTTAATTTTTATTATTTCATTTTTATTATTTTGGAGAAAAAGAGTTATATGAGTTTTTACCAGATTATTTTGAGATTATATTGAATTTATTAGTAAAGAAATTTTGTGTTTTATTAGTTATGATAAAAGCAACGTAACCTTTTATAAGCACAAGATGGTGTGAGTGGTGTTACGACCTGCCTCTGAGCGTCTCGAATATCCCTAACTGTCTGCTGAGCTCTTGTCTTGGGCTCCCTTATATATGGTTAACCATCAAGAGTGGTGACTGGGGAGGTGGCGACTTCCGATGACCTAAAGGAGCTCTCTAAATTAAATGTATTATTCCGTTGGTGCTACACTGTTTGAATATATTATCCCATCGGTATAGGCGTCACCTCTCCGTATAATATATATGTGTTAAAATAACACGGTACGTAACAATATTGTGGCGATACCGTAGTATCACCACTACTACAATTATTATGTACATATAAAATCATTGTAAAGTTATTGTAAAATCATTGTAAAATTATTGTAAAATCATTTTATCGCTCCTTATCGCGTGTGCCAATCGCGTCCCCGACTCTGTCAACCACGCACCCCTTCCATCTTGTACGTCTCGCCAGTGGCGTGGCGAAGGGTGTAATCGAGAGGCGGCCGCCTCTCGAATTTTAATGGGTGGTGGGTGGGTGGGTGGGTATTATTTAGTTTCATAATTATGAATGTAGGATAATAACATAAAAAGACAATTCAAAATTGATGGATGCGGAAGCCAGTGTCCACTAACCAGTAACTGGTAACAGCAATTAGTCAACAAATACGTGCAGTAAGCGAGCAATAAATCTAATACGATGTTAATCACTGTGTGTTGTTGGTTATTGTTATTACTTATTAGGTACTAAGTTTTAGGTACACTGTTTTGATTTTTGTATGCAGTCATTATTCAATGCGGTCTCTTGATCTCATCCCCTTTCCATCACGGTATATTTGAGTTTTGTTAATAGCTGTTTTTAGAATTATTATTATACAATAATAATACTATTATACATTATTATTACATTATTACTTATTATACTTATAAGTTATTATTTATTATTTTTTTTCCCTGAAAGATGACGCGGTCGCAGACTCGTATGCTGCGTTAGCCTGCCCAATGGCAGAGCTATTACCGATAACATAATATTAAATCTATTATTAGTTATTAGTACTTATTACTGATATTTTCTGTCAAAAATAACCATATTCGTTTATTTTTATCATGTTCATTATATAAGGAGTATTTCACTTAGATGTATTAATATGATTTGTTTCGTATTTATAAATATGTATGAGAAATCATCATAACCAGCGCGTTTAAGTTGGGTAGCAGACCGCTGCAGTGATCAGCCACTCTAATTCTTTATAGCTTCATTCGCATTTCGCAATTCATACTTCATTTATTTTCTTGTGTTCTGTTGTGTTGTCGTAGTTGTCACTCGACAAAATTTTAAAATGGAAATAAAAAGTCATAAGTGTGTATGCGGAAAAATACGTGACAATATGAATTACACAAATTGGTCGAGGCACTTAGAGTCCTGCAAAAAAGTTAAATTGAGATTTTCAACTCCATGTATTTCGTCCTTTTTTAAAAAACCAATACCAACAACAACTACTGATACAGGTATTTATGAATTTATTAATACTTATTGTTAAAACTATTGACTTATAAATTTAAAATTGTTCAATGTTCTGTGTTAATACTGAGTTAATAGTATAGAACCATAGAAGGTTATTTAATACTATGATGTTTAGACTAAAAAAAAACAATACTATTTGTATTAGTTTTGGTCAGTTCTGAAGTTTGCAGTATTAATATTGAGATAAATGTGACACACTCTATGCACAACGATTTGTATATAATATGGTTATAATACAATTTTAATTTTTATCTAACTGTTAAGTATTTTTTTAAATTATGTGTGAGTATTAAGTTTTTACTCATTGCATTCACAATATTTTATTACTGTTCGACATTCTGAGATACAGTAACTTATTTATCTTATTTCAAATCAGAATATTTACTGTATAATAAATATATTTTAATTTTTAATCAAGATTTTAACTTAATTAACTGAATTTGAACAAATATTTTCTGCTTGGAATTTTATTTAGCTATGATTAACAGAACTGAATTATGATTTAATTTAAATTTAATAAGCATCAAATCAAAACAATTAAAACTTAAACTAACATTCATTTTATAGACTATTTCATTGTTAATTATTATTATTTTTGACATTCATTTAATATTCTTATAGTCTATGCGGATGATGATTAAATGTAGTTATTCAATTATAGTAATTTTAAAGATTATTAGTTTTTAAAAATATTTTTTTTTTTTGGTGCATTTTTAATTGTTGAGTAAGTGAATAAATGGTAATTTATTTTAATAATTTTTACATAGACTTTGCTGACTTGACAAGTATTAGAAGAGAAACAGAAAGCAACGTTCAAGCATCATTAAAAAATTGTTTGATTGAAAAACCAAATAATGATGCTGCTGGTATGTGTATTAAATTTATACGTATAACTCATTAGTTTTCTTGAAATTAGTTAATGGATATTTTTTTTTTAAATAGAACTAGAATGGATGAACACGGATATTTCCGATACTATTGAGAGTTCTAATGAAATTGAAATCATTGGTACATTGTACAGTAACAGTGTAACTCTGGTCCCATCAGGTAAAATTAAAAAAATTACAACTTTTAAACCAATATTAATTTTGCTGACTGTTATATTATATTATTGTTAGCTAATTGTACAAATGTACTTAAGTAATATTAAATTTCATTATGTCTGTGTTTAATATTATAATTTATTTTCTATTACATGTATGTGTATCATACCATAAATTAAATATAATATTTAAACTAATATAGGCAGTAAAAAAATGTTTTTTACTGATATTTTATAAATCTAAGTATTTAATATTTACTCACTCAAATAAATAATAATATAATTTATATTAAAATTAGTTAATCTTTTTTAAATTTGCATAATTACCTATCATGTTTTTATTTAAAATTATATAGATTCAAATACTGATCATCAATCCTGCCCAAGTTTTTTTAGAAACCTATCAGGTAACAGTAATTTAGATTCCTAAAAAGTATACTTATTAATTATTACTACCTATACATTAATATTTTATAAAGGTGATTCAGATATATCTTCTTTGAATAATGAGAATAATGCGGTTCAAGTATATAATGCTACCCAGAATGAGGAAAATGTACAGATAAATATCGAAGAAAGCACTTCTGAATTATGTAGTTTTCCATCAGGTAAAAAAACTTGTGGTTTGATCTCAAATTGTGATATTAACAAGCAAAATAAATACTCAATTGAAAATATTAAAAACTTTTAAAGTTATTCTCTTAAGAAGCCATAGTAAAAAAACTAAAATTAAAATGTTAAAAATTTTTTATAACAACAGTGTGTTTTTTTTTTTTAGTCTTCCCAAATGATCCAGCTATGTTGCCTACAACTATATCATATGAGTTGAAAAATCATTTTTTTTCATTGGGTCCTTGTCAACCATCTGCCTTAGAATTAAAAAACAAGATCTTCCCACAAAAGAAAGATTCTCAAGGTGTTTTGCGATCATTTCATGAAACTTATTATCACCGAATGATTGAAGATGGTAAATTTGTAAAACGGTTATGGTTATCATATTCTCCTTCACAAGACCATTTTTATTGTATTACTTGTAAACTATTTGGTCTTCCTAAGGCGAAAAAAATATTTTTAGCAGATAAAGGGTCTAATGATTATAAAAATATCAAGCGAACAATAGAAAACCATGAAAGCTTTCCAGAACACCTTACAAGTGAAATGGCTCGAGGAATGTATGAAAAAAATTTAAGAATTAATACAGGAATGCATGAACGTGCCAATCGAAAAGTTGCAGAAAATAGGCAAATTGTATCAGTAATTATAGATGCTCTTATTTTTACTGCAAGACAAAATATTGCACTCAGGGGGCACAACAAGAAGTACACATCAACCAACAGAGGAAATTTTCTAGAATTATGCTCATTTTTATCAACATATCATCCAATATTAAAGCTACATTTAGAAAAATTAAAAGAAAACAAGATAAATCGTTTATCATTTTTATCCAATGTGACTCAAAATAAACTTCTTTGTATATTAGCTGATATGGTTCGGACAAATATTTTAAAGCAAGTTAACAAGTCAGGACAATTTGCTGTAATAATTGACACTACTACTGACGTATCTAATCAAGAACAATTTACTGTCATTTTAAGATATATTGACGAAGGGAAACCTCAAGAGCGTTTGGTTGCATTGGAAACTGCTGCTGATTCTACAGGCCTAGGTATGTTTAAAATGTTTTGTAGCATTACAGAAAAACATAATATCAAATGGAAAACACAGATGATTGCTCAAACATATGATTGTGCTGCCTCTATGCAAGGCAAATACAGTGGATTAAAAACACGTATACAGGTGGAGAATCCACGAGCAATGTTTACTTGGTGTTTCGCTCACAAATTAAACTTAGTTATTGTTGATACATGCGATTGCTGCATTAACACCAAAACCTTTTTTGGTGATGTTGGTGCTTTAATTGAATTTATGCGAGCTAGAAAACGAACAGCTGCATGTGTGGAATGTCAAAAAATACTAAATCCAAAAGAACAAAAACGTCGCATAAAACGTTTTTCTAATACAAGGTGGATATCACATGACCGAGCTTTGGTTGTCATTCAAGAAAAATACCCTGCTCTACTGAAAGCATTGGAAAATATTTCAAAAGCAAATGATTCAGATCGTGATACAACTTCAATGGCCAAAAACTTAATCTCGGTTATAACATCATTCCAGTTTGTCTTGGTTTTGGTTTTGATGAGAAAAATATTTTCGATTTCCACTGAAGTTTCAAATTATTTGCAATCCAAGTCTATTGACTTTATGCAAGCTATCAAAATGGTGAATGTTGCTAAGAATAGATTGAAAATGGTGCGTACTGATGAGGGATGTACTGAAATAATTAATACTGCTAAAGAATTTGCTACTAAAAACAACCTTTTGCAATGTGACTTCAAAGTGATAAGAGCAAGAAAAAAAAAAATTATGCCTGGTGAACTATCCAGAGATGAAGTACTATGTTCTCCTGCTGATTTATTTCGCTGTGATGTCTGTTTCAAAGTTTTAGATGCCATTATTACATCAATTGACATTAGATTTAATGATTCACAAGAAATTCTTAAAGATTTAAGCCTTCTCACTTCGGAACGTATGTTATCAATCAAAACTAAAAAACAGTTGCCCGATAATGCATTTCAACAGTTATCAAATTGGATAAACATTAATACAACTAAATTACAATGTGAATACTTAACATTCAGTAACAGCTTAAATGATCTTTTTAATGACACTAATCCAACCTACACAAGTAAACCCGTAAACAAAGAAAGTGAAGGGACTGATCAACCTCCTGATATTAGTTCAGAAATTAGTGATGAATCTGAAATTGAAGAAGCCAGTACAGCTAATATGTCTTGTTTAGACATTTTGGGTCTTTTATCAAGACACAACTTAATTGCAGCATTTCCAAACCTATATTTGGCATATAAAGCATTGTGCATCATACCTGCATCATCTGCATCTGCTGAACGGAGCTTTTCTAAAGTAAATTTTAATTATTATTTTATCACTATAAATAAAACAGAAGACTAGTAACATGTTCATAATTGTTTTACTCCAAAAATTAACAAAAAAGAAACAAGTAATTTCATGTTATGACAAAGCTGAATATGTAATTATATTTAGCATTTAAATGCATATTTTATAGCTATTATGGCATGTCTACATTTTTTTGTCTTTTTTATTTGCATATACCTTAAATTATTAATTAATCTTAATATTTTGTAAAATTTAGATTATGATAATTATTAACTGTATTATTTTACATTTTTATGAACCAAATACAATAATTGTTTCAGGTAAAAATAGTCAAAACTAGGCTTCGGTCAAGTATTGGGCAGAATCGGTTGGAAAGTCTTCTAATATTAAGCTCTGAAAAAGATATTGAAATTGATCGTGATGAAGCAATTAACATATTCGCAAATTCCTCAGATCTCTTAATGCAGAATTTATTGTTTAAATAAAATATTAAGTTGTATTTTAATTGTTACACAACTTAACCACATTTAAATACATAGAAAAAAGTATTCTTTAAAAAATATTGTATCATTTCATGTTATTTTAATATTAATCTTATATTATCTGTATGGTTTTAAAATTGTCTGTGAGAGGCAATCTCCCCCCCCCCCCCTATCCAGTGTTCAATGTTCAAGAATAGTAGCCAATGGATGTGTCGTGGGTGAGTTGGTAGATGGTGGGTGGGTATCGACAAATTGACTTGCCTCTGAAAATATTTGAGTTCGCCACGCCACTGCGTCTCGCCACGGTGTTAACGACGCCTCGCGCGACGCACCGACGAGTCAAGCGAGATTCACATTGGCACGACACGACACAGCACGGCACGACACGACAAAAATGTGTCCAATACACATAGAACCGACATCGGCAAGACGACAACGACAGTATGCTAGTATGCACAGTACGACGAGCACGTTAGTATAATCGGATTGGTGTTACAACTTTACAATAATTATAATAATTTAAAATTATTAAAATGTTTCGAAATTTATCTTATAAAGATTTGGCCATAATGGCACTATTGCTCGATGAAGAAGAAAATAGCGACCGTGTTGCGAGTAAAAAACGTTCTATTTGGGTTCATGACATCTTAAAGAAAAGGAAAATTGATGGAGAATATGTCACTTTGTGTAAAATGTTGGAGGATCATGAAGAAAAGTTTTTTAAATATTTTCGAATGACCCGGTTCCAGTTTAACGTCTTTTTTTTAAAAATTAAAAATAATATAACAAAACAAAATACTCACTTTCGAGAAGCAATACCTCCTAAAGAAAAATTAGCTGTTTGCCTGAGGTATATGGCATTTGATATTTTAATAATATATTAATTCGCAACAAAATATACTAACATATTTCATTTTACGTGTTTTTTAGGTTCTTGGGAACTGGTGACTCATACCAAACGATTGCATTTAACTTTGGACTGGGGCAACGTTAAAAAAATTTTGATTCATAAAGATTAACTTTTAAATGCATTTGAGGAATTAAAACTAAAGAAACTTAAATTATCTGAATGGAAGTTCCTCGAAGAGTATTGTTTAGTCATGGAGCCTTTAGCTTTAGCCCTTGACAAGTTACAGGGTGAACAATTTTGTTTCTTAGGATTTGTTGCACCTACAATTATTGCTTTAAGGTTCAAGTTAATTCAGTTAACACATTTAATATATTGTAAAAAATTGGCTCATTTATTAATTGTTAGCCTCGAAAAAAGATTCATTTACTTATTTGACTTAGAACACCCAAAGAGTAAAGCTTTCATCTTGGCTTCCATCAGTCATCCCAAATTTAAACTTAGTTGGGCACCAGCGAGATACTTAAGTGTGTGTAAAAAATTATTCATTTCTGAATGTGATATATTAAATTCGATTGAAAATATGACATCTGACTTTAACAATTCTGATGATGAAACTGATAGTAGTGATAGTGAATTCTATCAAATCCTGAATGAAAATACATGTTTTGAAGAGTCTACTGCATTTTCACGTAGTGTAAAAAGTAATAATCTATCAAGTGTACAGGCTCTTTCTTATTTAGAGTACAAAAAAAAAAATTTTGATGTATTAAATAATTTTCCTATTGTAAAAAAAGTATTTTTAAAGTATAATACTACGTTGCCTTCGTCTGCTCCTGTTGAACGATTATTCAGCAGTGGTATACAAATTTTAACTCCCAGGAGAAATAGATTACATGATAAAACATTTGAAATGCTACTCTGTTGTAGGTGTTTGAATTTAAAAGTACAATAATATATTATAATTATAATTATATTTATAAAGTATTATATATTCTATTAAACTTACATTGTATATAATAATTAATAATGAAAACTTTATTATTAAGCATATAAAAAAAAAATATTTTAATAATTATTATTTGTTTCAATAATGTTGTTGACTTTGTATAATCCTGTTGAGGTATGTTTTTCATTTTTTTATTATTAACAATGAAATTTTTAATTTCTATTTGTGTAAATGGAAAATTTAAAATTATTTAGTTTTGTTATACATTGGTTAATTGGTTAATAAAGTATAAATTGGTTTTTAATGTGTGTTTTTTTTTCGAATAACTAAATAAACAAATGTAAATATACTATATCTAATCTAATCAAGCATCATTATTTAATGTGCTAATACAAATCAAAACTAAATACACATTCTGTTGTTTAAAAGAGTTATATTAATGTTGTTTTTTATTTTACTTATGAGTTCCTATGTGATAGGTACATAGGTAAGTATATTTATTGAATTTAAGTAAAAGCATCAATTTAAAATCATAATATTAATGATATAGGTAATATATGCACCAACATTTTAAAGAAGAAGATTAATTGTAAAAAAAATATTTATTGATAAATCGTTATAATTGAATTCATCGTTCCAATGGCGTATTTAAGGTTGCCAAGGGTCTTTTCTAATCTGTGTACTACTGTACTATACAGTTGATGCTGTAAATTATATGGTGTTGAATTTAGAATCCCCCGCATTAAAAGATTTCTGGATATGCCACTGAATAGTTATTGCCAAGTATAAAAAAAAACAGCAAAAAAATTTTTATCTATTTTTTTTATCTATTATCTTTATCTAGATAAATTCTTACCGATAATCTATTATCTTTATCTAGATAATATTTTAGTTATCTACTCGTATTCACTGCAGGTAGGCAATCCGACTGCGTCGGATCGCGGACGATGTGAGCGTAAAGGAGAGATTTTAAACGTATTATGGAAAATGCATGTCAAACGTTAGCGAGTTGAAGAGCAAAATATTATTCATAATTAATATTTTTTTTGATATTTTATAGATAGTTAGATATCGAAATTAAATATTATGCACTTTTCGTGATGACAAAATATTTAATGTGCTACTGTTTTTCCCCGGTATCTTTCAAATGTAAAGTACTGAAAGGCTAAACATATAAAATAGTGAATTCACGGTCAAAACCGAGTGAAACAACTTTATTGTCATCAATAGAATGTTCTCAGGCTATAATATAAATTGCATATCACATATGTACATTTGAATTGGGCAGACTGTTAGCAATAGCCAATAACTATAATTGGTTTAATTGAATACTATTGTGTAATTTAATGTTCGTGTAAAGTATATTGTAATATAATATATTTTGACATCATCAATCGAGCAATATAAAATTAAATGTGTGAGATCAAAAATCATTTTTAAAATTTGAAAAATATTTTATGAGCAGTAGTGTAAGATTGGATATCAAAACGAAAACAGCAATTAATAATGATCGAATTAAATGAGAAAAAAATGCAAAAAATCCGATATGTGCAGTTCCTTATGGAGCCGCCCGAAATCCACCGGAACGGGATTCGAACCTGCCTACCTAACGTCGGGGAACCTATCCTAACATCTATCGACTACCGTTTGAGTTGTGAACCGTAACCGAATTTCGAGCTCTTGAACCGTTTTAGAGATGCGACGAATACTATAGTAGACGTCGTTTAAGCGATACGATTTTTACGATTCGAGTGTCGCGAAACCGTAAATCGCATATTAATCGTCGTTTAGAGCAGTGTTTCTCAACCTGGGGGTCGCGACCCCCCTAGAGGTCGCCAACTTATTAATTAGGGTCGCTGACGTATGATTTAAAATTTCAAAGTTCAAACAATAAAATAAAGTAATGAAAAAATAAAATCAATAAATATAAAACACTGTATCGTGTACACTACCTATTATCATAGTAATTAATAATAATCTATGCGAGTATACAAAAAAATATAATATATTATATTATAGGGGGGTCGCTAAAAAATTGAAATTCAAAAAGGGGGTCGCCACAGTAAAAAGGTTGAGAAACGCTGGTTTAGAGTGTTTCCGACGTATTCCTCTACATTATTTAATCGTATACGTCTCAACGACGTACCGAATTTATCATCACAGACACATATCACGATATCACCCCAAACGTACGCGATCAAAAGCGTTACAACGACCAAAGAGCAACGATTTCGCGATGTTTTTGTATAATACACATAAGGATCTGGTCATATCTGACGTACGTCATCGACGGTACGCACGTTTCTTTTTTATACACCTAATCGAATTTTCTACGCTATCGAGACGATGAGGTCGCGGTGGCGTCCGAGGGCGGAGACACCGAAAACAAAAAAACGCGTATTCGACAGGGATAAAGGATTTATCGTATCGTAAAAAAAAAAAAACAGTAGTACTCGCGCGACGATACGATAACCGACCGGAGAACGTGTCGCGAGTACGCGTTTTCCGGCCTCGAACGGAATTCGGGGACGCGGGGCTCGCGATCGGAAAACGCGCGGACGCGAAAAAGGAGAAACTGATTCGGGGCGAAGAGAAAGACGGACGACGTCCGTCGGCGGGCGGCCGAGGACCGAATCCGAACGAAAAACGCGCGCGGACGGGACGAAAAAGACCCGCTCGGGGCTACGGCGTCGAGAACGCGACGGAAAGAGGTCTCCGAAGGCCGGAAAAACGGAAAAACGATATAACAAAAACAAATAATAACGACAGCGACGGCGGGAGATATCAGATAAGAAAGACGATAAGAAAAAATTTAATTTTTCGATTGGCCAGTACACTAAAGTGCCCGCATTCTGGCGGATTTTTTGGGAAGCTGGTTTTGGTTTTATATTTTAAGATACAAATATTATTATTGGCTGTGATTATTATTATTACTATTATTTAAATATATCTTTACATTAAACTATACAGTCCACTATTCTATTTTATTTTATTTTACTATAAGTTGCGCCCAAGTTGCCCTATAAATTGTGAGCACTTCATGCGCCAACAAGAAGCATACCTAAGGAAGAACATTTAGCAGTAGACGAACAAATAATCCCTACCAAGAGTAAAACATCACTCAAACAATATAATCCAAAAAAGCCCCATAAATGGGGCTATAAAGTTTTTGCTTTGAGTGGTAAATCAGGTTTCAGTTATGACTTA